GGGGCGTGAGGAGGGCCGTGCCGGGGCGTGAGGCGTGGCTGTGCTGTTGTGTGAGGCGGGGCTGTGCCGGGGCTTTAGGAAGGCTGTGCCGGGGCGTGAGGCAGGCAGGTGCCAGTGCCTGAAATGTGCGGGTGACACCGCGCCGTTGTGCGAGGTGGACAGGAAACGCCGCGTCCCGCCACTCTCCTTCTCCACCTCCGCTGCGCGTGGGACAAGCAGATGCCCGTGGGCATGAGGCATGGTGTGTTGAAGAGAGCGCGTGGTGGCGCATGCCCACGGCCGACACCCTCATGGCTCAGGCACATGCAGGCCCTGCGATGTGGCACGCGTGTGGGACAGGCTGCGAGCCCGCCATGGGGGACAGGCTGCTGTGGGCCTCGGAGACGGAGGTGAGCGGCATGTGTCTGATGGGACAGCGAGGAGGGAGCACTTGATGCATCTCGGAGCCCTCTCACTTTGCAAATTTGTGTTTAATTTGCTTCTCGCTTTGCTGCCGCGCTCTCCCTCTCACCTGCCATACGCGCTTCCTGTGCCAACTGTGGCGCTTTCTCAGAGCTGTTCCTTAGCTAAATCCAAGGTTTTGCTAACCTTTTTTTTCTAATGTGATGTTGTTAAATTTATGTTTCGGTTTTCTGATGCTTTTTGTACAACACTTCAATGCTGAGTTTCGTGCTGGGCATGCAGTAGATAAGTCACTATATGAGAGATACTCCATAGGTAGATTATTGCTCTCTTAGTCTTTTGCACAATAGCTTTAAAACAATACACTGTACAGCAAAAGGTCTCCTTATATTGGGAAATGAAGCTACTAATCAACAAAAGACCTCAACATCTCCTGAAAAATTTCTATATTGCTCTTATTTTTTGCCTTTTAATAGTTCAATATTGTTATTACTGTTCCTATTTATCGCTATCGCAGCTGAGACGGGCAGTGACAGTTCGGTCACCGGTTTGGGGGTGAGGAACGCCTGCAGCGCGCGAGCCAAGCGGCTGGACTGAGGGTGGGCCAAGGCAGCGTTTTACCAGGCGCTCAGTCCTCCAGGCCTGGCAGTGGCTGCACTTCGCCCCACTGATGTTTTACTTCAGCAGTTAAATCACAGACCTATCGTACTTTTATTTTCCAAGTTAGATCTTATTTCTTTCCAAAAATGCTTATTTTAGACATTGTGCCAACATTTGAATGAAGAAGTGAGACAGTCTATATGTATGGCTTAATGGATCGAACCTATGGCTGCATTCAGTTTTTATCCTCTGATCATTTTATTTTTTGTTAATTATGAACTGTCAGTCTCAGGCCAGGTATCTGGAAAATATCAGATTCCAGACCCAATGGTTAGCTTTTTGCCGGCTGATCCACTGCAATCAAAGCTCTATTTGTGCCCTGTAGTGTTCGGTAGTTACTGGTTACTGATGCCTCGGGTTGTCATCTGCGTATGTCTGGAGGTGACCAGTGTTCACCCAGCTGGCTGATGCAGATGAGCAAAACGTACTGCCTAGCCCTTTGTATTTATGTTACAGGAAAATGAAATGTAATTTCACAGTTATGGAAATCCAGCTGAGAGCTGGGAAATAGGGGGAGGAGCGTGACGTAACAAGTAGGAAATCAGTATGAGGGAGGCTCATTCAACAAGCTGCTTACCCTTGTGGGATAGAGGCTTCTTAAATAAACTCCACATCTTCTTGATAAGTGGACAACATTAAAAAATGTATAGCTGTGCCTGTTGATAGAAAATCATTGCATGCAATAGGAAATTTCCCCAATGAGTTGCAGTGGAGAATATTGGCACTCACCCTTCGAGGCACAGATGGAGTATTAATATTAGGAAATTTGTTCTGACATACAGGCATTTGTGGAGTTACTGATTGATTTTTCTCTGGGTAGCCCCACTATAGATAAGATTTCCTGGAAAAACAGATGGGGTGTGGGGAAGGGCGGTACAGCTGTGGCACGGGGGGTGCAGGGCACTGTCCCCCATAGTTCACGCTCTGGGAGGCTGAGCCTGCCCCTCTCACAGGTGCTTTCCCAGCCGGGGCTTCTCGCTCTTTGTCACAAAGCATGCTACTGTCCCTAGAGGGCTCCCTTTTAAAAAGGGGTACAGCAAACAAGAGGATGATTAATGCATACAGCTTTTCACAGATTCAGGATTTTATTTTAATTTTTCAGTGTTAAGTAGCTGCTGGACTTGGCCACTTTTGCTTGAAGAATTTTTCCCATGGCGTCGTGCAAGATTTGGCTTTTTGTGAAAGGTCACAATGTGACTACAGGGTTGAAGGTTGTTCTCAGAAAATCAGTAACAACTTCGTAGTTTCCTTGGCTAATCTATTTGTTAATTTTGATTCAAGACTGGGCCCTAAAATAAAGAATTCACCCATATTGCTTGTAAAAAGTTAAAGATGTTACATTAAAGTATCCAAAATAGCAACAGTAATAAATTAACTTAGATTTTTGTTCTGGGATGCTGAATATGTTGAAAAAAACGTAAATGTCCTAAGTAAATTTGCTCAAAAATAAAATAAAATGCCAACACCTCCTCATTCCAGCAGGCTTTTGCGGATCCTTCTCCTTGCCAATGGCTGTGAAAACGAATGCTTCTTGCAGCATGTCCTGGGGAGCAGCACCCAGCGATCCCAGCTAGCACAGGAGAGAGGCTCAAGCCCCAGCCTGCAGGCCCTGAGGTAAATGAAATAGATGTAGTTTTCCCTCTTCAGTATTGGTCAGCCTTCTTCTCTATCATGTCAATATGCCTGGTGAAAAAATGGGCATTTCTGACCATAGAATTCCAAACTTATGGCTTAATTGATTAAATGTAACATCTTGATGTGCACCCAAAACTGACAGCAAATGCAGCTCAGAAAGCAATAGCAGTTAATAACACATTTTAGTCTTCTATCACATTCTAAGGCTTTTTTTCTTCAACATTATTCAAAATTTAGGCACCTTTCATATTAATGAAATGGTAACTTTCTGTATCCCATGATCAAACTATCCAGTAATGCTTGCTCAGAGCAATCAGAAATGACAAAAATAAAGTACTAGTATAATTTTAATATGAATGATTTGATCCCTGGGGTTTCTATCATATTAAACAAAGAAACAAATTAAGTAGCGACTGAATTAAGTAGAGGAACTTGCATTATGGAAAGGCAATAGATTTTTTCGTTGTTAAGCTGGTAGCTACTTTCTTTCTTTAAGTCCAGTTTTCAAGTTCCCCCACAAATTGCCTAGAAATAATCCTGCTGACGTGTATCTTTGCATATGTCACCATATGTGGGCAGTTGCATCACATACTCTCATCCGTAAGTACATCTTGTTCCTTCTGACAAGTAGTTAATGTTAATGGTTGATATAATCTTTTCTGCCCACTTTTTTTGGAGTAGTACACAACATATAGGTGGTGTCTTACCAGTGTTTTGTATCGTGATGGTAGTAGTGTCCTATCTCTGCATCTTAGGATCACATGGGTGGCCCTTACTAGCTCTTCAGTCAATAAATACACTTCATTCCTTCTCTTCCTTTTCCATTTCCAACGGCCAACATACCTGTCATATTTATGTGCACAGGTATGTGGTGCTGATGACACCACAGAGCTCCCTGCTATGAGTAAATGTCACTGATGTTCTCAGATATCACCCACGAAAACCATAAGCATGGTGAGTCCTGTGAAACGTCTCTGTGGAAGGCTATGTGTGATACCTCCCAAGCCTGACTGCTTCCTGTTGAGCACAACCTGGTGACATCTCTGGTTTAGTCACTCTCTCACTTCAGTTTTTCAAATTAATTACTGTCGTCTCTATTTCAGCTATTAATTTTCTATAGGAGATCATTGCAAATGCTTTATGGAAGGTCAGATAGAAGAGAGTCACAGCATTTCCCGTATTTAGAAAATATTTATCTTAACAAAAAAGGATACTTGATATGTGGAAAGCTTTCTGGTACAACCTCCCTTAGGTGAATACATGCTGCAGTTTAATGTGTAGCAGGAAACGAGTGTCTTTCAGAGGCTGCTTTGAACACAGACCTCCCCTTCCATGTTTTCTGCTTCACCTTTCCCTCAGGACAGCTAAGACTAGTCACACTGAGGACACCCAGGACCTCTCTGTGTCACTGGGACAGTGCAAAAGAAGTGTACTGGGATCTGGCCAGTGACATTTGAAAGTACTTGTGCCTTTTGAAGTGCTAGTGCATGTTATGCTGTGTTAAATTGTGTATTATATACATATATTACATAAGTTGCATTAAACTTACCTCTTTAGGAAAGAGTCAGACTTTTAGAGGAGCCAGTAATCAGCTATTTCTGAGGGGAATAGTCTCTACTCTGCATTAGTGTGCAATATTGTTTGTGTGGTACCTGTTGAATATTTCAGTAACCTTGGAAGGGAAATACTATAAGGGATCCCCTGTTCCCCAAATAATTTTTTTCAGGAACATGTATAGTTTACTAATGGGACTGAAGTCCTCTTTACAGCTATAGGCAGTTTAGCTAACAAGGGTGATGTCTGTCTGTCTGAGCTATATAAATTAATATTACGGACCCAGTTTTGGAGAAAAAAATATCAAGATAACCCATATCTCTCTCTTTCCATGATGGGAAAAAGAAAGCTCATGGATGAATTACTATTTGGCAGAGCATTGCCGCTAAGGCAAACTTCCGCGGGTTGTATTTGCTGAATATGATTAAGGACCCATCGCTCAGAAAATCCCAGTCTGCCTGATCATGGTCGTGTTTTTCTGGAGCTTATTCAGAAGCACAAAATCCAAGTTGGGGCTCAGATCTTGGTGGTTCTGGTGACCTGGCTCCTGGCTGGTGGAGTTGCGCCATTAAGTGGGACATGGAAGCTGTGGTGAGGGGCGCTGAAGCATGGCCCCAGGCTGCTGTGCCCAGCTGATCCCTGCGCTCATGCCCTGGGACCAGGCACCAAAAAAAAGAAAGAATGGCACCAAAATCAGAGGGTGGGAAAATGATTGCAAGTACCATTAATGAGGTGACATCATGTGGACTTATCTCCGAGATACACTATTCCTTTCTAGCATTTAAACATCAAGGAGAACTAAATTCTTGAATCTGAATGCTTTTTTTTCCCCCTTCAAATTCAGACTTAAAATTTTCAGAGTTGTTCTAGGCTACAAACTGGAATAAATACACCAGTGGGCTTTGGAAATCAAGATCAAGAATGTAAGATCCTTCCCTCTCTGGGTTTGAGCTTCACTCAATCTTGGTGCCTACCTAGCCACATTACTGTAGTTTTTGGTATGATTAGTATTTAAGCTGTATATGTGCTTCACCCAGAGGATGAATGACAGAGAATGTTATTAAATCTCTCAATTTTTCATGCTACAGCTCATCCTAATATGCCATATCAGATGACTTTGGTCACGTATATCTGTTTCTAAAAAAGACATTATTATAACAAAAGGATTAATCAAAATTTGGGGTGAGCTAAAGCATGCCCATTACGATCAGCCTTTGGTTTCAGCAGTTAGAGCAATGGCCAGCGTCTTGCTTCTCGCTATAAACATCTGGACGAGGACACTGAAAGAATTAAATTCTGTGTCTGAAAAATGACATATTGAGTAGAAGCTTTGCTTTCATCTTTGTGATAATGTTTTTAGGAGAATGCTCACAGTGTCTCAGCGTTAACATTCTTTAACTGCTCCTCAAATTACTAATGCTTCACGTTGCTTTAATCCATTCTGCTGTAATAGCTTTATTAGATTAAACTCCCTGCTGAGCAAGCGAGGAACAGTGGGATTATCACACTTCCCTTTGAACAGCCAGTAAAGACAAAATAAATGGTTAACAAAATAGAACAAATTCAGTTTGCAGGTGATCTGCAGTTTTTAGCCATCGTAGACGATGTAACTGCAGATAGACTCTAAGTGTTCCTATTATTCCTTGCTTGAAAACTGCCTTTTTAGCAGCCTGAAGAAATTTCTGAGGTAAAAAAGAAGTCATAATGGAATAAAAGTTCTTTTTTTCCCCTTTAGATGTGTTGCTAATTGCATCATGCCACTGTAGGGACAGTGTGATGAAAACCTGAAACTTTATTAAAAAAAAGATTTTTTTTTAGCTTCACTTTTGACTAAGCCATAGGTAGGCCAGTAACAGTCCTTTATCAGGTATCTCCCAGAGTGGTAACTCTTAATGATGGGTATTTTTTTTTAGCAAATCTAATTAACTATTTGAAGTATTTTGTCAAGAGGCTCACGATTACTATACACAAGCAGTGGGTGGCTCTTCTAGATTCTGTTAAAAACTCAGTTTCTTCTCAGCATTCTTAAAATCCTCATCTGCTGGAGCAATTTGAATTTTGTTATTAGTGACTGCTGGAAATCATAATTCAATAAAGACTAACTCATTTAAAAATGCTTCATGCTGAGCGTGCATTAGGTAACTTGGGAAACTTAGGAGACACAGAAAAACATATACTAATATTCAGGTCTACACAGGAAATTGGTATGGCACTGAGCAGTTTGAAGGAGGCTTTTTGTATTTTTTTAAGAAGCTGCAGAAAGGTTGGAAGGAATGCAGTTTTTTTTTTTTTTTAAGTAAATGTATTCCTTCCCTCTCCCTAGCATTTTTTCCTAATGCACTGGCATCTGTCCAGAGGAATTAAAAAAACCTCACCATACTAGGGGATAGTGAACGTATATTTGATAAACATTTCTATAATAATTTTATAGGTAAGTAAGAAGGCCATCATGTTTCTTTTCTTAAACTCCTTGTATGTCCCTTATTACTTGTCCTGAATGAGTTTGGAAGTTTAAGTATCTCTCATGCCCCCATCTCTCCTGTTCCCTTTATGGTAATAATATTATGGCGATCGAATATATAGTCTTGCCATAGGGGAATGGGCCTCATGCTCGGGTTTTTAAGCCACATCTGCAGCTGCAGCTGCAGCAGTCTTGAAAATATTGGTATTATGAAAGGATGTCATTTTCTAACAGGGAATTCTTCAGAGGACACTCCACCATTTCATTTCTGCCCAGTACTGTCCGGAATCTGTCTCCTCTGCAGTTCATTTGCTGCTCAGGTTCACCATATGAAATACACAGGGGTATTTTTCCCCATTTTTTCTCTCCACAAGTTGTTTCATCTTTAGAATCACAACATTTCCTGCCAACATCAGAGGTGTCCAATCTTGTCTCCTTTCTCCCTTGTTCTTTTTAACCATTTTCAGACTTATATATCCCTTCGGTTTCTTACCATCTCTCCTTTTCATCCCCTGGTCCTGTATCTGCACCTCACTTGTTTCAATTCTCTACTTAACTAGGAGTTCAGAAAACAATTGTCTTTTTCCACCTGTTTTTCTTCCCTTGCTTTGTGGTTTGATTTAGTCTCTCTTTGTTTTCCCCTTCTTGTTTTTTTTTTCCCCTCTCGCTCTTCTTAAAATTAGACAAAATGATCAATATTATTTCCCCCTCTGTTTGATAAGCTAATGCTGGGCTAATGCTGTGGAGATAGATTTGTTGTCACTGCCAAAAAAGATGAGATGAGGGTAAAGGTGTTCTAGACGCGGCAAAGGGCATGCTGTCAAAATGCAAGGCTTATAAACAGCACACAGTGGTATGTATTATCAGTCCCTTGTCAGCATTCAATACTCTTGGAGTAAGGTTAGACCAGCCTAAACAAATATATGTAATTCAGTAGATAAAAAACTGGGACAAAGGC